CCAGGGCTGGTCCCATTGCATAGCAGAGTGGTGTTCAGGGCCACTTAGAGGGTTGTCAAATATTGAGGGATTCCAAGGAGTTTTTGTCTGTGTAGATTACTTCTATCATAATTCAATCTATTTTTAATTACGATAGAAATCTTTAAAATATTTATCAATCATTCCAAAGCAACTCCACTAACCAACTACATGTTAACAGAAATAACTTCATCCTCTAAAAAATAAATTTTACAAAGAAATCAGTTCAGGGAGAAAAGTGGCCTGTTTTTCATTTCTGTAACCCTCCTCCATGTCTGGCTTCACAGACTGAAGCTGCTCTCCTGCCATTTCTGTATTCAATCCGCTGCTCTCTGTTGTTTTGTTTGAAGTAAACAAGGAAATCCTGGTTTTGAACAGATATACAGTTGAAAAATGAAGAGGCTAATTTTTAGCAACTTTTCCAAACAATTCTGGATATTACTCTTCAGTGTTACACCAAAACTCAACAAGTGGCCGTTTCTCAAACCTTGTGACGGCAATGGGGCATATGAAACCTCRTCAGCTTTTCTTACCGTGCTATGCTGAGATCTGTTGGTCTATTTTGCCCTTTGAATAGATTTTTGACTGACGCAGAGCTTTACAACGCCACRTATTACTAATCATTTGAAAATGCTCTTTTGCCATGTCATGCAAATCTTTCAAATGGTAATACTTTTTACTGTACAATGTCTAAAACCACATTAAGTGGAATGATCAGACTTTAGGAGAGAAGACTGTATTGGGAAGCTTGGTGGCAGATACAAGTTCTCTAAATTCTGCTTACAATTGTTTTTATTGAAAATATATATTGCAGGTGGTTTAACCTTGAAAACACAGGCTAATTCCATCCATTTAGAAAAAAAAAAAGAAAATCTGCCCATGTAGAGCCTGAAGAAGCACAGTAGTMGGCTGTGTCTCAAGTAACGGGCAAAGCATGTTCATGAGGCCAGCAGCCAGCCCAGCCCCCACCTAGGCTGCCCCAGGACTGGGTTCAGGACTACGCTGCTGCGYACCCTGGCAYGTAAGGACAGCTCTGTATGCCCACATTTTGCCACAGAGAACACTAAAAATTCACAGGCGAGGGCTGAAATTTAATTAAATAATTTTTATTGCTTCATCAAAGACATTCCTAAGTGGACCTGACATTTGTGGCAGTAAAAAATAAGACAATGATGAGGATAGCCTGGTGCCACTGCTTGATCGAGCCAAGGTGCCGGCTGCTTTCCCACAGCGTTTTTGTACCATTAGTGCAAATGTCAACACAGTATAGTTTTTAAAGGCAAGCTAAGGTCTCAGAATTCAGTCAAAAACGGCCTTGCAGACCTCCCAGGAAAGCCAGCCCTGAGGAGCCCCAGGGGTCTGTGGACCACACGGGCGGCCTGCCGGCTGCAGGCTGGCACTGGAAGGCTCCTGAACAGCCAAGATCGCATTCTTAACCTTTTAATCAGTGTGGACTGGCTTTTCCTACTGAGTGAATATCTGTGCCTCTCCTCGTTTAAAAAGCAAGTTCCCATATAAGTAGAACGTGCCCCGCACTTGCATAGTTCTGTTATCCAATGCTACAAAATCTGTAAGTCAGTTATAGTTGGTTCCATTTTTATTTTAAAAACCCCAATGCTCAGAGAAGATTTGTCCTATGGCAAATAATTGTCAGACTCTAGGATTATAAGTCTGTCTGGCTAAATATCCAAGTGCTGTCTGATGCCCCTTTAAATACCCCGAGGACACATGTTTTAAATAGTCAATGCCACTGGTTCACCAGTGGCCCATTTTTTGAAAAAAAAAAACAGGGTACATTGATACATGCAAATCCTGATTTGAAATCATGGACATTTTGTTTTGTTTTGTTTTAGGAATTCTCGTGAATGTCCCCTTTACGGAGCTCTTCCAAGACCTGTGCATAGACGTAGGTCTGTGATTCATGAGCTGAGTTAAGGACAGTGATTCAGAGCCATAGGCYGCAGCTTCTTCCTGGTGGCAATCCACAGTCACTGGTTTATTTGAACTCTACCAACACTGTGACCCTCATGGGTGGACTGAGGCCCTGCTGTCCTGAGGAGAGAACTGACCTGAGAACTCAACCCGCTCCACTCTGCTTTGGCCTTTGGGCCTCCCTCTCCACTGCTCCTCCCTAGGCACCAGGTAACCCAGAYCAGGTGACTCAAGAGAAGCCAGTAGGAGGTGTGCTACAGTGCTACAGTGCTCTCCTAGCACGCCTCTCCCCCCAGGGCCAGACTGCGAGGTCTGTGAGCTCACAGCCTCTGTCCCCAGGACCCCAGGCCTCTGTCCTACCATCTGCTCCTCCACACCCCGCCCACATGAACTAGGGCCACCAGGCCAGGCTCCCGGGGACACTGATCTGCCCGCCGTTAGCACTGCCCACTCTGGCCCTCACCTCTGTCTTTCACAGCCCTCTTCCCCTTCAGGTGCCCGGCGTCTGTGCCCATCCCCTGGTCCTCCCTCCGGCCTGCCTTCCTCCTCTCCCTGACTGTGCAAGCACCTGGTGCTGAGGCCTCCTGAGGTCCCTTCCCTCTTGGGCCYTCTCTCCAGGAACTCCCCTCTGGCTGCCAACCCCAGGGCCACCTGCAGACATCACAGGGGCACCCAGAGCTGCCCATTCTGCTCCCAGGTCTGCCTTCYGTGGGGCCTACCTCCTGCCCAGCCAGAAAATGGAGTTGCCTGGAGGCCTCCTCCCTGCACCCCCTCCAGGGCCGTGAGCACAACCCTGGGCAYTTCCACTTCCTCAACATCTCTGGGACGTCCCAGCTCCCAGGTGGCACTTCTGCTTCCTTCAGACCTTTTTCCTCTGAGAATGACCTCCTCTCCCATCTGCCTTCCACCGGGGTATCAGAGTAAATGTCCTAAAACATATCAATATAAACATAACGACAAACATAAAATGAGTATCAATATAAACAGTATAAAGACGACACTTTAAAACCTGAAGATCTGTCTTGGCCGAAACCTTGCCCAAACATCCAACGCCTTCAGAGAAGTGCTGGCTCTCAGGGCCACCAAGCCTGCGGTGGTCTGGCCTCTCCCCCTCACCTGCAGTGCACTCCCACCTAGCTTCTCTCAGTTCCCAGGACACACCTAGCACTCMGACCCTCCCCACCCTCTGACTTGTTTCTCCACCCCTCCCCATCTTCTTTTGCTTGGAATTCTTCTCCAGCTGCTCCAGAGCTCTATGCCAAAACCCTACCACCTCTACCAGAGCACCTTAGGCAGGGAATTGCCTGCTTCCTCTTTCAGACCCTGAATCATGGTGCTGATCACACTTTCATTTATGCCTGTCTCCCCACTTTGGTGTGAGTTCTTTAAAGGTGGACACCATGTCTTACCTTTAAATCTCAGCACTTGAGGCCTACCTGGTACATAGAGAAATTTAATGTTTGCTAATGAAGGAATGGATGACTTGCTCTGGGTCATGTCTCAAGAGGTCACTTCTACAGATGTGAAGGGAGATCCAGGGCTGCTTTTACCCACCTCATGTGCAAAAGATAAGCTTGCTGTGATCTCAAATGTCCCTTTTAGTCTTTAAAACTATTTTGTGGCACTTATACAGTTTCATAAATCTACATATGGCAGTATTCTCWTGTAGTAGCCATGAAACTTTAGCAGCTGAATTGGACTGTCCTGTGACCAGGCATTTAAAGGTACTTAACAAAAAGATCATWGTTAATAAGTAGTGTGATCTCAGTGAGGTTGGTTTCCATCTTATTTATCTTCATTTTACTAACAAAATGAGAAGARGGAAGGTGTTTTTCATGCTTTCAATATAGACACTATATTTTAATAAACAGTATATTCTTAGAACTTAACACGCCCCAAACTGCAGTTTAAAAAAATACATATCAGGTCTGCTAGAAACTAGACTCACAACTGCCAAAATGAGTCCACTGAATCACTGGGTACACACCCCCCCCGCCCCCCACGTTTTTCCAAGGCTCTGGCCAGGTTGCTAATTAGGTAACTTCTAATCCTAATTACCTAGTCAGCCTTAATGGCTTCACACACTGCTCGCTGGTCCTGTAGGGCCGCTTTTCAATTGTTAAAACAGCTGCTGCGTTTCCACCGGAGGAGGCTGGTCTGCGCCCAGGGGGAAGCGGTCCGAGCGCGCTGCGCTCGGCAGCCTTTCGGTGGAAAGTGGGCCACGAATGCACAGTCTGCACACTCGCGTTCCGCCTCCGTCCAACCTCCGACCTTCTGGATTCAACCCGCTTCCCCATCCCGCCCCTAAGCCAACCCCAGAGCTCCCCTCTATTGTGCACCCGGTCTCCCGGACTGGGAGGGTCCCGGCGCACGTCCTGCTGGATTCCGCAGCTTCGCTAGGGTCTGGGAGGCCTCCCTCTACTCCCCCGGGTGGAGAGGAGGC